TAAATTAAGCCTTGTGTATTTTATTTTACTTTGAAGCTTAATTTACAACCCAATCAATTTATAGAAATCTTTAATGTATAAACAGTATATATATATAAATCAGTATTCTGGAAGTGGCGCCTCAGTTATCAACTTAATGGCTGAAATATTTTCTGTTAAGCAACATTTCGTATTGCAATTCACCTTGTCACGCACGATCCGAATGGTTGCTATGCGAAAATGTTACAAGTACTCAGATTTTGCAATTCAGTAAGTGTCGGTGATTGCATATGTCACGTCCTGAGTTTATGATAGGTCAATTAGTTTCAAGGCTAAGAAGTGAGATTAAAAACACTTTAGTCTACAGATATGAGAAACACCTTTTGAATTTTTATAAAAACTGTCGCAATCATAAGTCCTGACTATCTTAGGTCCAGATTGCGTAACACGTACCACGAAAAAGTGTGCCCAGTCCTACATCCGGATGTCCTTGGACGTAATATAATGTAACGGACACAGTGATCGATAGTTTCTCATACGAAGCGCGTGGAAGGATAAAATAACGCAACAAGGCTCGAAGAATACTCCCAAAAATCATTTCATAAAATGAATAATAGGAGCTAAATAAAGAAATCTACAAATGTGAGAAGTGGTCCTAATTGTGTGCTGAAAGAACAATTTATTTTATACTCTTATTATTATTTTCATAGCATTCAATGTACTCGAGTGCTTGCAAGGTCCAAAAAAGACACTCCTTCGCGAATTTTTGTCTGTCCTCGGTTGATATATTTTCTAATCAGTGTTTTTTTTTTATTCGAAAGATATATATATTTGAAGATATAATACACAAATTTTCATCGAAAACTATTCAAAATTCTTGGATAATTCTAGATAGTAAAGAAACATTTCATTTTTTATCAATTTCTGAGTAGTTCTAACGCCTTAAAATGAACACTTTCCTATCTACTTGTTCTATCTTACTGTACAGGACTATCGAAACATTCTTGAGGTTTCTTGATCCTTGTAAGTAGTATTATTTCCGGTCGGTGGCTAAAGCAAGTAGGAAACATTCTTGAAATGGGGGAGGGATTTCTGTATCACGTAAGAAAGTAACGCGAAAGCTGCCGGAACTTTTCTTTCTGAAATTACTCGTTGGATCGATCGCGGAAGGAGGTTCCGGTACTATTTTTCTAGCCTATTACACCGACTCGAGCGTCATGTTCTCTATGCGTACACTGTAAACTGTAATGATTATCTTTTTGCCCGGAGCTGCTCTTCGAAACGTTTAACGCGTTCCGTGTAACGTTCCTCGGCTACGGTTTATCTGTAAAATCTGTTTTTCTTGTTTCAGGTAAGAGTTTCGCCTACTGCGCCGCGACGGTACCAGGGCCACCTGAGCTTTCGTTCGAGCGTAAATCAGTTTTCTCTGAACGAAGTCGAGGGACATGTACTTTTTACTGCCGTGGCTCGTTTCGTTTCTAGAAATTAACGAAACACTGTAAGTACTCTCTCTTTGTTCAATTACGGAACTTTGAAATTACTGTCCGAAAGAAAAATGAGATGGGAGGAGATTTTTTATTTAGAGGACAATTCGGTAGTTATAAAACTGTAATACTGGCATTTGAAAGAAAATTAATTGCAAAGAGAATTAGGAATGAAGATATTTTTAATTTACTAGACAATTTCTCACAGTTTTGTTCTACTTTTAATTTAATGTTTCTTTTATTTAGATTTGTTTTTCACCGACCTCGTCGGCGTCTAGATATATATCCACAATCGCGTGCAATTAATTGATTGCAAGAAGGGGAAAAAAAAGGATGACAAATAGAAATAAATTTTTGTAACTTATAGTCGTCTATATTCTTCGCTTAAATGTTTCACGATCGTTGTTTTCCATGATCTGTGGCGATAAGAGCGACGTAGAAAGTGGGCCTAGGTTTGTTTTTACATAGCTTTCAAAGTTACGCAACACCAACGAAACCGATTCCAAATACTTCGAGTGAAAAGGCAGATGTAATACTCATCGCCTGATCATAAATCACAAAAGGCATAAACTTCTGCACACACAGATGTGAAAGTAATTTAAAATTGTCAATGTTACGGTCAAATAATTTAATTTAATCATTTAGTAGAATAATGTCATTTACAAATATCTAATTTGAAAACGTTTGAAACATTTTATCAATGTTTTGAACTTCATGAAAAAAAGAAATACTTTGTAGTAGGTTGTCTCAAAAGATTCTTTCGCTTTATTACGAAGTAATACGTGCACAATATTTTATGTTTTATGTTACATTACTGAATTGTGCACGATTCATTTTGCTCCATTACTGTCACAACATGAATATCTATGAAATTAGATTGTCTATTTATAGAAACACGACCACATAAAATAATTGAGTGCAACTCGCGAAAGAAACTTTCGGGACTACCTAATACATGTATTTCATTTCATTTCTATAACCAGTATCAGTCACACATCAAGATCTCTAGTAACAGTAGGAAATGATAATAAAGAAGTGTGTATAAATATAATGAAATCGATTAGCGCGCGACTAAATATTGATCTTCCCTTGCGTCGACAATAGTGTTCCACCGCAACAAGAGACAGCAAAAATATTTAAATTAATAGTTAATAGTTTTCTTTATCATTTATGAAATGGAACAGTGCCAGTAGTTAACTAGAAGTCCCATTTGCGATGCGAGAGAAAGAAAAAACGCAAAACTGTAATTGATCCACAACCTTCGACTTCTTGTAATATTATTTCACTCGTCGAGTTTTCCATCGCGCTCGATATTTTGATCCACGTGCCAATGCGAGTACTTAGTTGTGCATGCGAGTCGTTCTTACACAATCAATTACGTTCCTTGAATGTTCTCGCGCGTAATGACGCGCTCGTTCGTAGCCACTCATTATCGCGGCAGTTCGCGAAGAATGGGTGACCTTAATAGTTTCGACCAGTCTAACCACCAGCGAATGATCCCAAGCAATCACGAATAAACGCTCGCAATTCGCGGCCTGCCATTCATTTGTTGGGTAATTTTGCTAGCGACGTGCATCGTGTAACCTTTGCAGTTGGATCACGTGTAACGAGTGATGGAACCGCGACGAGCGACCACAGACTTAATCTTCTTACTTAAATCCAAACGGTGGTGGATAAACGAATGAAGCGTTACTACGGTCACTATGAATGAAAAAGTATATTCAATGGTCGGTAATAATTATTCAAAAAATAGAAATCTAACTTGTAACTTAGAGATACATATAGGAATTAGGAAATTATTAAAAGTCGCGATAATTTTGTAGCACAAAATTAGAAAGTTAGAGTTACGATGATGTATTGTGTTTAATGTCGTACAGTTTCTTGAGCAATGTATTTTATATTTCTTCATCTGTTTATGTTGTAAGGGTTACACACAGTCATGTTATGATCTCTTGTTTAGAATTCAGAATTATTTGTTCAGAGTTGCTGTGAAGGATTTCCACGAATTAGTTGTTTACATTATGGATCAACAGGACTACAAGCAGTTATATTATTAACACGTTGGCTGCCAAGTTAAAACTCATGAAAATTATTGCAAAGTGAAAATTATGTCTCGAGACTATTGAAGATTAGGTAAGTTTGCATTTGTCGTGGTATAGAATTTTTTAACGTCGCCAAATTCACGAATCCTAACCAGATTTATTTTAGTCCCTTAACGAAAAGTTCTGTCACCTGTCTAGGTGACGTGGCGACCAACGTGTTAATTCTTCTTATCTAAAATTGTAAATGGGAATTATCAATGGACTAGTTACCAAACTAGTGCATGAACAAATATCCATTTGCACCTTGAAAAGTCAATACTCTGAAGTCGATTTATGGAATTAGACGATGATAGACTTCGCGGACACAGTATGAATAGCAGGTATCGGCGAGGCATCAACAGAACAGAAACGACGAAGGTTTGGTTGGAACGTTACTCGTAGCAACCACTCACATCACTACTATACATTCTTCCGCTGATTAGATGATCTATATCAGAAATATGAGGCCATCTGTCCATTGTTATTTATTTTCTATCGACTGTATTTATACATCTATTTCTCTGGGTGTCATTCGACGTGGACGTTGCAGAAATGTGAATATTTAAGATATTAATACATAATTTCCTTTCTCTTAAGAAACTTGACATTTCAACTGCATTCACTTTTCTTCCCGAGTATTTTTATCGGCATACGTTACTATCGAGGTTAAGCCTCATATCAAGCATTTAACTGTTCCACGTCAACGTAATATAAAGGTTACGAATATATATTAATGCATTCAAATATAGTTTGCATTCCAGATTGGTTTTTGAAATATCGAGTCTGCTATCTTGAGAAGTACAAGTTTTCAGAAAACTAATTTCTGTTTCTACTGCTCCATTTCAAGCCCCATAACTTTGTCAATGTTTTTACTTCAACTAAATCCGGTTGAAATTGTATTTGTAACACGTTCAACTGTCAGAAAATACAAAGAAAAAAAGAAATGTTGCTTCGAACTTTCTCCAAGAGGAAGTCTCCTGTTCGTCCTCGGCGTCCTTCCCTTTTCGACTTACCTTCGACTCGGTCGTTTATCCCTTCGACGAACGTTTCTCATCGAATCTATCGAGCTTCCTTGTGTCAGGTCGTTACAGATCGGATCGCGACGTCTGCCGCGCGGATTCACATGCTCGATTCGAGTCACCGAACGAACCTTCCTTCGGTGGCCAGTCGCCGCGCTCTCTGATAACACGTCCGCGCGGAAGGTAGAATTTTCGGCGTGTTCGACGCACAGGGTGACTAGACGATCGCCGAGTGACCGCCAGGGAATTGGTAATGACACTCGGAAGAACGATACTACGGTACTGTACCGATACTACACTCCCTACTCGTTTCACTCTCACCATCCTTGTTGGCCTGGTCGGTGACTGGGTTTCTTCGTCCTTCTGGTAGGCTCCCAACCGTACTTTGGCAGTGAAAGTATTCTCTTCTTGTGGTTACCTACGCACACCTATCCCCCCCTTACCATGTGGTAACCACCGGTGCTTACACTGACGCAGCCCATTACCCCCTGTGCATGCTGTGTGTTACGCTCGCTCCTTCCTGATCATTTCTCCCGCGTGCCATCTGCCTCCTTTCCTACTTCGCCGTCTCGACTTTCGGCCTGGACACACATCGTCTATCGATTTTTTTCAATTTGCATCGTTGTTACATTTCGCTTGCTTAAGGGGATATCCTGAATAAGGAGGTCTAAAAAAAGCCGTTTATCGTGAATGTTTTTAGGATGGAAAGAAAGAATTAATTTCATCGATCGTTTTTATTCTATTTTCATACATATTTGAGTAGTCTGTAGAAATTTTTTTAACAAGAAATATTTTTAGAGCACCTCACAATTAAAACCTCCTATCGGCGGAAAAGATGCAGGTCGTAATTTTGGTTTGACACAAAAAAAAAACCAAAAGAAATTTTCATTTTCATACATTTTTCTTCTATGTGAGCTAAGAAAAACCCGCAAAAATGGTGAAATGTGAAATTACTGCAAGTTTGAAAGAAAGAACGAGTTCTTTGGGTGGAAGAAATTACAGTAACTTGATAAAAAAAAGGTGTTTAAAATTGTTTGTGTATGAATTTTCTTAGTTCACATAGAAGAAAAATGTATGACAATGAAAGTTTCTTTTGGTTTTTTTGTGTCAAACCAAAATTACGACCTGCATCTTTCTCGCCGATAGGAGGTTTTAATTGTGAGGTGCTCTACAAATGTGCTTCGCAATCGACCCAATTTGAATATTTCTTCTTGAAAAAATTTGTACAGACTACTCAAATATGTATGACGCAGATTACAGATACCTGATAATAATCGTACACGATTAATGAACAGTTGTCTATGACATGAAGCATAAGAGGAATGCTTGAAGGATAAAAAGGATAAAATAGGATAAAAAGTTCGATAGAATTAATTGTTTTTTTCCACCCTAAAAAAAATTCACGAACAACAGCTTTTTTTAGACCTCCTACTTCTGGATACCTCCTTAAACACATTCACGATCACTGACGTGGATTCACGTTACATCAAATTCTCTCACTGGTTATGAAAAAATTATGAATTCGAATCATATTCCGTAATTTTTATCTTCGCCCTGACGACACAAATTTCCGACGTTCAACTTCAGAATTTTATTTTCCCAGTACTCGGTACTGTGAAAAAAGCTGTAAAATATCTATTTTTATTGAATGTGTTAATGTCAAGGGTTTTTTTTAGAAACTGGGTTAGGTCTTGCCACGTGAAAGAAATAGATTCATTTAAATTAGTGCGATAATTGCCATGTGTCTTGACACATTAACATTATGCGTAACTAGTACTTATGCGTACTCTCCTTAAAGCATTCCTCTTATGCTTCATGTCATAGACAACTGTTCATTAATCGTGTACGATTATTATCAGGTATCTGTAATCTGCATGCATTTCACAGATTACGTTGACTAATGACTAGACTGCGGATTTTATGTAATAACGACGTACAATAATGTAGAAAAGATACATAGTGTAGGCTATTAATAGGCTTTTTGCTAGGAAAACTATTTAATGCTCCCATCATTATACGAATTATGATGTATTATATAAATATTCATCGAAAACCGATTCTAATAGATAAAGTATAGATTAGTAATTATATGTCCAGTCGCTACTGGTTGATAAAGTGTCAATATAATACCATTAATTATTGTATTTTGCATAAGTGCACATACCATTTGGTTACCATGTGTTTATTATATTAGTTTGTATCATAAATGCGGATAATCTGCAGTCTAGTAACGATTGTAAATCATAATCGTGGAATGTAAACGGTCCATCGTAATCAACTACCATCGTTACATTTAGAAGAACTTCAGAAATAAATTTCCCACTGGTATTCACGTCTATCCATTCACGTATCTTGATATTATTAGATACTTGCAGCTACCAGTGGCTTATGAACACGTTGCAACTTCAATAAAAAAAACTTCGTTCATTCGCAACATTTATATGTATAATCAAAGTTGCAAGAGGGGATCGATTTACAATGCGTCGCAAACCGTTTCCTCGTCGCTACGTGACCGCCATCACGTCGAAAAATAGAAATAGCGCACGCTAGGAAGAGTTACGTACGAATTATAAATACGTTAAACGAAGGAGAAAAGAAAGTTCTTCTAAATACACAACTCCGATTCGATGTTCAAATACGTTTCGTCACGTCGAACAACGGGTCTCTGGACGTTAGCGCAAATGAAGGCGTTTAAACTTCTTAAACTTCATTTTCTTGTTCTTTCTTTATCTTGGCAAGTGTTTCTATATTTTACAGTATTCATGCAAATCGACGCTCTTAGACGTCCTTTTCCAGTTAGATATTTCTTGGTACGTTTGGTCGCTTGAAACGTTCGATTTGTCTTGTACGAATACATGTTGCTTTGTTTGCGCAAAGATAACTGTCTCGTGGTAATGCAAAGATAGATTAAATTTGCCCTTTTTTCTTTTACGTTCACTTTTTTTTCTCAATCTTTTACGGTTCAAGTATTCAATTATTTATCTATTGGGTATACCTAAGATTATTATTAAATTAAATTCATTAAGAGTAATGTTATTTGTATTTTACAAATACATAAAAAGTAAAAACATCGAATCGGTATATTAACTACAGATCTTGTTTCCACTCGAATTAACTCGTGTTCTATGGTTAACATTTCTTCCCTTCTTACTTTTTTATATTTTTGTATCGTTATAAAATGCAATACAGAAAAAGTATCACGGCACAGGATTGTCCCTTGAAAATGCAGTTTCACTAACAGTAATTTCCCAGCATCGTTTGTCTTCTTTTCGAATTCTTAAGATTAATGTCTTCTTCTGCACATGTTTAAAATTTTGAAATGATCTACGACTAGAGAATGTAATTTGAATGTTACCAGCGATAAATCACATGAATTCATGAATCGTTAAAATAAATATACCTTGATCTCTCGACTTTGTGCGAACAAGAATTAACTAGTAACGAATTCACCAAAGAACGATTATTCTGCGTTCTTACGAGCATTTTTAATTTTTTTAATCTTTACGAGTCCTTGGAAGTACATACGCAAAATGCTGAAACATTATTTCGTGAACAAAACGGTGCGTTTGCCGAAACAGAGAGCTCGTTTTGCGAGCATGAGCGCGGCAGAATGTAATTAACCGGAAAAGTTAAATCGCGCGTTGAAAAATCTGTTGCGTCGACCATGGATCGGGTCAACGATCTGGAAACGCGGTGAAGTAACGACCAGCTGGTCGTTCGCGTTGTTCTTCGATTTGATCCTGTTTCCCAGCCTCGATTATATCCGGTTTGCACGACAGGTTGCCATACGCGTGATTACTGTGCTCTTACGCGCTATACTCCAGTCGAGTGTTTACCCTAAGGCTCGGAGTACTCGTCTAATTTGTTTGTACTCGAGTAGACAAATATCCCCTCAGTTTACAGGGAATATCTTTTTTCCACAGTATCATGCGCAGTTCGAAATCCATGAGGTTTTTACGAAAAACTGTAGTATTTTTATTTAATTGAATTTATTTATTTGCACGTAAAAGAAGAGTATGATACAATGTAAAAACAAAAACATATTCATTCATAAAATCACAAATATAATATACAAAGTTATATTTTACAACTTTCATTTTGGTTTCTATAAATATGACTTATCCTTTGGAATTAAAATAATGCTACAATAATTACTGTTATTTATCACCAAACATAAAATGCTTTTCATGTACGAACAGACAGATTTAACCTTCTCCTAGGTTTAATATCAGTATCCTCAAGTGAACGTTACTAACCCTTTGCACGTCGAATTATATTTCAATTTCGTTACTAGCAACTCCCAACGTTTTTAAGTGTTTTATTTGAAATTTACTTTAATTAAAAAGCAAGGGAATTTAAATACAGAGAGAAATGAACAAATTAACTTAAATATCAGTTTTTTTCATACTATTGTATTTCGTAATTTTCAAGCGAGGTAAAAATTCTTGAGATAAAAACTGATGTCGAGTCGCACTCGACATAGGAGTGCAAAAATAAACGAACAAATATTCACGCAGCATATATTTTTGATCTTGACCACTTTTCTTTTCCTAAATTCGTAAACTGTCCAAAATCTGTTCGAAAGTTAGGTATATACAAGAGTACAATCTTCGTCGAACTAGTTCAAGATCTGGGACCTGTGTTTCGCGAAACAAAAGCAAGAACCAGATACTAAATATGCGAAACAGTCCACGGGTAACAGGCGCGTAACGCGGTAATAATTGATAATTGATCGATCACGCGTAATACCTGCAAACGATTAGAAAGCAGCACGCGCCACGTGAATGCACGCGCTTCTACGAAGCTTCGATATGTTGCATTGCAACCAGCGAGTAGCTTCTCACGTACTTCCATCGGAACGAAGACGGAAGTAAGACTATTTCGTACCGGTATCGTGTGTTATCATAGTGGATATTTCTTTTATACCTTATCTCGATTCATGACCTGTGGAAAACGTACACGCAGAGTTCCATTTATTTGGAATGTAACGAGCCTGGATCGAGCACGGAATCAAAGCGTAAATTAGTAAATAAATGGCCATCTAAGTGTACTTTTGGGGAAAGTACTGTAAATAATATGTTTAGTTGTTCAATTTTGTTCTATGTGTCCATATTCGAATTACTGGTTGGATGGCTATAAATTTCAGTTAGAATTCTCGACTAAAATTTGAAAAATCATAACTCCTGATTGGGCGAGTGGGATTTCAATGATCGAAACGAGAAATTGCGTGTCGTTAGGTGAAGAATATTAAAAATACATAAAACTATCGAAATAATGGTTTTGAATGTTGCATTACTTTTTTGACTAGTAACCTATTTATCTATAAAAATTATTTTTCATTTTTCTGGTCAAAATGAAGCATGTTTCGTTAAATAACATATAGTAACAACTTCTATTATTTATGAAGAAAAATTCCTAAAACAAAGAAGAAAGATGGTTTGAAAAAGTTGAGTAATATTCGTGTTTCGAAGCAAATATATTTATAACAGAAATTTCATATCTCACGAAGACGAAACACTTTTATTTAAAATATTTGTTCAATGTCATTATTACTACTCTGTAGCATTTTACTGTACTATACTGCATACTGTAGTACTATTTCGGCTGAACTTCGTCGACAACCGTTTCCTATTAGCTGTCCGCACAATTTACTTTGCATCGGTATGTTCCTGACCTAGGATACGTCCAAGATACGCCAGATAGTACAAATTACACGGCGCGATGCTGACAAGAAAGCCGGAACCCATGAAAGTCTAGGTAAAGCCCGCGTGCCACCGGTAGGAACGAACGCGCCTCGATCCGCTCTTGACCGTAACGCTTTCTTTCATTAGTTACATATTCCCTGTAAAATATTCTCGTGTCTCTCGCCTACGTGAATTGAAAATACAAATGATCCCCGGCCCATGCAAACGCAACGCGGCCGCTATCTGACTTTCACTGTCCACTTTTCTTCGCACGATGTGCTGGAGAATTCGCGAAATTCATTCCACTCCCACGCTGCCCGCGTTTTCCCTCGTCTGCGTCGCGAATTCGATTCGTTTATTAGGCTCGTAGTCTAGAAGATTGTTTCATTTGAGTATAGAAGGAGGCGGACGAATCGCGTGCTGATAACACTCTCCTCGTGGTGAAACAAACGACATTAACACTTTTCCGACTGGTAGCGTTTAGTAACATTAGTATTGTACAATATTTATTTTACGTATTAGAATCGTTTTTAGATTAATGTTTGACCCGTTCACAAGTCGATTAACTCCACTTTTTGAAAAATCTTAAATTTAAGTGTCGAAGCACTTGGTATAGTTATAACTTTTTATATTTATAATAACATCATGAAAAGGAAAGAACTTTTTTCAATATTTATTTAGATTTATATTATAAGGGGAATCTTAAGAACAATCTGTAAATTATTTCATCGTATTTCTCAACTTTTTGTTTTATGGAGTTAATCGGTCTGTGGAATGAATGGCTCGTTTGTATAATATTACATAATTCATACAATGATAGGAGCATACAATCTCGGTAATCGATATGAAAATATTGCTTGCCATGACAAAAAGACGATTAATAAAATACTAAACTTAGCAAGCAATTCATATTATACATATAATTTTAAATTTAATTCACTGAATATCTTATAGTAAATCGTTCATGTGGATCATTTGCATGCCTATACTCGTTTCGATCGAAAATTCTTTCCGAATAATTTCGTTAGTTTAAAGCTTTTATTCCCTGAAACGGATATAGTGTGAGAACGCTCGAGTGCGCCAAGATTTATGATCAGAAAACTTGAACGGTGGATTGAGGAAACGGCAACGATTTTACGATGAAGGAGATTGCGGAACCCGCGTGCCTTGAATCGTATTGTCTGGCATTGTTACCGAGATTCGATTAGATCAAGAATATAGCATCCTTTTACGCACGCAAATTTCGAGAAGATTAGTGAAAGCAAACGAACCTGTTGGCATAGAAACGTTGTCTTTCTATTTTGGTATCGTGGTACATAAAATTCCTTCCTTATGTATAGCAGCACGTAATGGCTGTTCATTGTTTACCTTCGGAGTAATGGTAGATTTACAATTCTACAAAGCTTTGTTATTGCTAATTCTACAAAGCTTTCTTTAGGTAGATCTATTTTGTGTTTTAAATAATATAGATTTCTTAACTAATTTTCTGAATAGTAAGGAGTTAATTATAGAAACGATGAATACAGTAAGAAAGGAAATACTTCGTTGATTAAGAATTTTTAATAATTTTCTATCGAGGTTTCAAGCGTATCAATTAATAGTGCATTAGTATTATTTTGTTTCTTCATTCAGGTATATAAATGTATTAATGTTCACAATTAATGTTATTTATACAAGTGTATTACACTTTGAATGTAATCAGCAATTGATACTTTTGCAATGTTGGTGGAAAATGATTAATAATTCTATAAAGAAATGTGTCTCATTTTCAAGAATCCACCTACGTTTCAACAATTTTTCCTTTTTTTTTTATCATTTCTAAAATTAAGGAAATTATTGTACAAGTTTGATCCAATTCGTGTGTTTTGTGTACACGTTTAAAAGCGCGCAACATCGGCTTAATATTCATTCGATGTCAAAGATGGAGTTTTTCCGTTTCGCGATCAGAATTTTGAAGCGTTCCGTGATAAGCTACCTCGACGCAACAGCAATTATACTAATTAAAGCCACGCTTATCCGGCTCGACGGCAGAAATAACACAGCGATCCTGGCGAATTTAATGCGCGCTGGCCGTAATGGATGAGACGAGGAAGCGGAAACGCGTCGTAAAAAGTGCACGTGAGAATCGGTATCCTGTAACGAGACTTTTGGCACGAAGCCTCTTACGTAAAGGCTGCGGTTGTTTGCCCGCGAAACGAAAGTCGTGTTGCGATCTCCGCTTCCCAGATCGTCTGCCTCGCTCTCGCGATCCATCGATCTCCCGGACGATCTTAAATTTAAAGGGGTATTCGCTCGAAAGTGTACGTAAAGCAGATAGTTTTTACGAACTTTCTTCTTCCATACCGAAGGACACGTAATTCTTGTTTTCCACTGTAGTTTATTGAAATTTTATTAATGCTTTCGTAAAACAAAACAACCTTTCGTAAAAAATTCCAATGCTTGATAATTATGAGCATTCTAATCAGCAGAAATAACAACTACTTTTATTTTAAATGAGTTTCTATAGCTTCTGATTTAATTGTTCATTGAAATTTTGTAAAAACAGATATATACAGTGGTAAATTGAGGGAAAACACCAAATTTGTTCATCTTAATCTATGTCAGACGTCAGGATAGGGAAGACAGAGAGAGATATATAGTAGATTTGTTTAATTACTTAATGTCTTCGTTGCATAAGTATCTAAAGGTACCATATACGTATATATGTATATAGAATAAAGTCACGCCTTCGTGACGTGAGGTTACGACTCATGCGAGCATTGGGTTGCCTGTCGCTAGGAATACTCCAACAAGTAGCACAAAGAAATAAATAATAAATAATTGCAGGTTATTTTCAACTTAGAATCTATCGTTCGTCGTTAGTGAAGAAAAGAAAGAAGTCAACGAGATTAGCATTTAGATGCAGGGTGGCCCACGATAGAGTTGAAATGGTTTTTAGTGGATCGGTATTACATTTTTCATTGTAGGTAAATGGAAATCACGTCAAAAAATCAAGACATGGAAAACAGATCGTAGGAAGAGATTTTTATTAATACCTGAAACAGTCTGGCGTAGAAATAAACGTTTCATTTTTTGTTTTTCTTTTTTTTTTGCGACGGATGGCACGGTTACATTTTTGTACAGTGGATGGTCGTTCGACCATATTACGATTTCACGATCAATCGATAACGTTCATTTCCATAATCGTAGGAGTATATTTACACGTGGTTGCATTGGCTAGTGGAATTAAATAGTAGACGTAGTAATAAATATAGGAGAGAAAGTTGTAGATGGTTCTCGGTATCTGTATTATAAATATTAATGTACTTGTTCTTGGGTTGGCTGAGAACGATCTTTTATCAGTTTCTGGAGTGAGGTATAAATAATCTTTGACTATTCTAGTCGGGTTGGAACATTCGCAGCAGGTTTCACGGCTCATCGCCGAACGAGGAAGTTATCGATTTTGATATTACATCGCGAGACACGCTTAGAAGTTAAATTGCTGTAAGGACAGTGCGTGCTATTTTATTTAATGCTAGACACAGCTGATGATAGTATTCCTCGAGCAAGAACAAATCGATGCATATCGGCACGGAGAGTAATTGATCAGGGTTTACGGTCACGATAAATCTTTTAGTTGGAGGAGTGAAAGGATTTCTCCCCTCTTAAAGTAGCGCTAACACTAAAATTACCGAGGTATATTATACATTATACATATACCTATCGTACAGAAATAAACATATATAAAAAAAATATATATACTTATAAAATCTAGACATTTATATTTATATATGTATATTTATAATTTATCAATCTATATATATCTGTATATATTTATTAATTTATATATTTATATTGATCTTTATATATTTACCACTTATAAAAGTACATCTTTATATTAAGAGAGAGGAACAGATTAACTTGTTAATCGAATTACTTTTTTATTACTATAACTGGCTCTAAAAACTTAGGTAAATGCTTTATCAACTGTTGCGTTTTGCAACACTCTTATTCACCTAATTTCATCAATAATTGATTGACTTTTAAAAGAAGTTTGAGGTATATGGGTTAAATTGAATCGCTCGGTAGTTTTAGTGTTAAATTCTTTTCATTACTTACGAATGTCAATAAGACGAATGAAGCCATTATTTCTTTCTATGATTTATCAATATATGAATTTGCATAAATATCGGACAAAGTGATAACGTAAAGACGCCACCATCTTTGACCCTATCAAAATTCCTTCACCCAAATTCACACTTATCCCTCGACTGCAAATATTCATGCATTTGCAGAATAGCTCTTTAGAGTATGAGACATACTTTCCCATAAATTCATCATCTACAGTCGGTCCCATAAATATTCGTACCCTCTATGTCTATCGAAGAAATTTGTTTAAATTAAATGGTAAGTTTAAAGTCTCCAAGTGTATACTTGCATAAATATGTTGATGTATATACATATAAATATGTACACGTATAAGCTTATTCATATACATATTTACTATGA